TTTCCCAGCACCAATTATTGAAGAGGCTGTCTTTTCTCCATTGTATACTCTTGCCTTCTTTATCAAAGATAAGGTGACAATATGTGTATGGGTTTATCTCTGGGCCTTCTATCCTGTTCCATTGATCTATATTTCTGCTTTTGTGCCAGTACCATACTGTCTTGATTACTGTAGCTTTGCAGTATAGTCTGAAGTCCAGGAGCCTGATTCCTCCAGCTCCATTTTTCTTAAGATTGCTTTGGCTATTCTGGGTCTTTTGTGTTTCCATACAAATTGTGCAATTTTTTTGTTCTAGTTCTGTGAAAAATGCCATTGGTGGTTTGATAGGGATTGCATTGAATCTGTAGATTGCTTTGGGTAGTATAGTCATTTTCACACTGTTGATTCTTCCAATCCAAGAACATGGTATTTCTCTCCATCTGTTTGTATCATCTTTAATTTCTTTAGCAGATGTATTTCTGATCTGATCCCAGGATGTGATTCCTTTTTTTCAGTACTCTTAGGAGGCTGGACAAAAGGGTGAGATGATACTCAGTAATGTCCAATGTTTGGACCAAGTCTCAAGGACCAGGAATATGTTTCTCTTTCTTTTTTTAATGTTTTGTATGGTCATGGGAATGTTGTGGATTCTTGCTGTGGTTCAATTTTCCCACTTGGAAAGCAGAGAATAGATTTTTTTTTTTCTCTCTCTGCTTTCCTTATACTATGGGCTACACGGAACTTTCTAGGAAATTCCAAGATCTGAAGTTTACTTATGGGTCATAAGGGAAAAAATGTGCTGTGTACATGTATGTTAATTCACAGGTAGTGTATATATTTTATAAGTTAGTATAAGTAAGCAAAATAAACCAGTGTTTATACCCAATTTTAAACAAGAGCACATCATTACGTAGTCTCAGGAGAGAAGAAAAAAAGTGTTTAGCTTTGCGAGTAAAATAGCAAACATAAATACAAGCCATCAATTTATAAGGCATATCAAGCACCATCGTGATATGCCAACAAACCCACATGGATACACACAAAGCTGACTAATCTCAGTCTTAAAAAAAGGTACTAAGAACCAAAATAATTTTAAAAAACCCCACACAACTCATCTGACAAACAAGGAGCTAAGCCTTAAATGAGGTGGCCTAATGGGGAGTTGTTATTTGACCTACTGAATCATGACTGATATTAGCTAAGGACTATCACTATTTACACCTAAACCCATGCATAATGTATGTCACCACTAAAAATTAAATACAAACTAATAGTCGCAGCAGGATTGAACAATTAACTTATTCCGTTTTTGCTTGTTTACTTTACCAAACAAAACCAATTGTGAGTTTAACAATTTCTGTCTTACTTAAGATCTTTTATGTCAAGAAGCAAGTTACCCAAGTTTTTAATTTTCACAAATGCATTTTTAAGTCACAAAGCACTAATTTCATTAAGGATCCAAAGCTAACCAATACCAGACTATGCAGATTAGGTAGAACCTAAGATTTGATTTTTTTTAAAAAACTGAGAAAACTTAGGCACAATTGACAAATTTGCTAATTATTCTTCCCTACTTATGGGTGTGGTTGTATATACTTTCATATTACACATGCTGCATCAGCTAAACCAGGCAGAGAATCTCCTGCTCTAAGAGCATGCTTAACAACTGTTGGCTTCTGTCAAGTAAGACTGTGAAGAAAAAGTCGTTAATTCTGTAAATCACAGAGAAGATTCTAGGCCAAGACACGAAACTAGTAGCATCATCTTATTTATTAACGTAATTGAAACATTTTGCTGATAAAACTTTTGTCTGTGACTATTCTAGCAACAAAATTTTACTCAAAATATTTCACTGTGAGATGGTGTTGCAACTTGAATGTAGTTTTTATTAATGTGTTGATTTCCAAAGCAAATCTTATTCTCAAAATGGCAGATTCAGGGACCAAAAAGTGATTCAAAAAAGCTTCCCCCTCCCCATGCCAATCCTTGAGGCTGCTTGGATCAAGCTGAGGTCTGGGCCCCAGACCTACACTGAAGGTGGAGGGAAAGAGAGTAAC